GGGGGGGGGGGGGGGGGGGGCGGGGCCCCGCCACGGCCGCCCTATGTATCGCGCGGCGATCGAGACGGAGGGGGCCCGCCCCCGCCCCGCCGCGCGACAAGCCGCGGCCGCGCCCGCGGGCGAAGCCAGAGGCCAGGGAAAATCGCAAACGAAGGGCCCCGGAGCGCACCGATGGGGGGGAGGTCGGACGGACGCCGTGCCCCCCCGGCTGCCCTACGTGGCTCATAACAGAGCGCGCCACCGCGCTACGCTGCCGCCCGGCAGGCCGGCAGTGCTTTCCCATGGGCGGCCCCCTCCTCGCAAGGCACTGGCTCGAGAAGGGCCACGGCACCCAGGGCCTCCCTCGGTGGCGTCGAGGAGGATGCCGATGGCCTGCGGGTCGTGGGCTGTCGCCGTCTGCTTCTCGTCCGGGATGGTCTTGGTGCTGACATCGCTCGCACCGCCGCCATACTTCTTGCCCAGCACAGAGCTGCGGGCGCACTCGGTCACCAGGTCAGGCCTCCGGCGCGCTTCGCGCGTTCCCTTGCCTGCGGCAGCCGCGCGCGGCCGCCCCGCCGGCGCCACCCTTTGGCTTTGGCCCCGGCGGCAGTCTAGCCCGCCGCCAGGTGTGAGCACTGCCATGCATTGCATCACTTCCGGGTCTGTGTTATTAGTAAGCATAGAAGCACATGGGCGCGATACTGAGCCTGTCGGCCCGCAGGCGGGGCGCCAAATCCTCTGCCGCCGCCACCACGCTGCGCGCCTCGTTCGTCTTCATTGGCACTACAAACAGCAGACGACGCACGCCGCTCGGTGCCCGCGGCTGCTGGGCTGCACACTCTGGCCGCTGCGAAAACGTCCCCACTCTTACGCAAGTCCGTCGCGATTTGCTCGGCGAGAAAATTGCTTGGCCTGGGCAGCAATCAAAGTCACAGCGAGCGGCCCTTGCGACCTCACGGACGGATTTCTGGGAGTAGGTTTCCCCTTTGCCAGGATGCCTTCCCTTGTTCCACGCACGCTATGGCCGCCCGAGGTGGTCGATGAGGATAATGAGCCGCCTTCGTCCGCCATGCATTAAGTTCAACACCTCGCCCGCCCCCTCGCTAACAGACTGCGGACGGCATTCGGGTTCTCGCTCTGGTCGGCCCCCCATTCATCGAAGTCGTGGAACTCCGGGAGCCCTTCCATGGCCAAGCCTCGCAGCAAGTGCGCGACGGACGCCCGCGCCCCGCATGCAATCCAAGCTCTCGCGCGGCACCAAGATCGGCCCCGCTGGGCCGCCGCCAACTGGCTGCGCGACGTTTCCCGCCTGCTCGAGCTGAAAGCGGCCGGACTGTTTCCAACATCGGACGGCCGCCGGGTTCAGGGGCTTCCCGTCCCGGTTTTGGTTTTGCGGACCGGGCGACGCTTCCGCATGAGACTTGTCGCGGCAGCCATAAGCTGACGGGCGTCCAAAGAGAAGAAAGCGGCCGCTGATTCCGGTATGGTATGAATTCGAGATCTTCAGCGACATTTCGACCTATGCGACGGAACACGCGGCCAAATACACGGACAGCAAGTAGTTGAGCAATCTTTTATTTTTTGTTAGACTCCTGTACTCGCCATGAATAAACATAAAGACGGAGGCATGATCTCCCCTCTCTTTATTATTTTCCAGAATAGGCTCAATTGTTATGGCTTCAAAATCAAAAACACATCATGGAGCTCTGCATGATCTTCTTGTTCCTCAAAATCGGAGAGTTCTCACTCGCAGACGCAACATCAACTTCCACTACTAACCAGCTTCAATCACCTCATCAATTTCGTCTCTTCAAAAAGTCAACGACGGACTGCCACGCGCGGTCCGGCGTGGGGTGGATCCCGTAAAAGCCCGGAAAAACGTGGCACATATCCTGGTAGATTTCGAACCGGATTTTCGGGCGCGACCCGCTCGAATAGGGTGCCTGGACCAGCTTCTGCACAAACGCCACAATCTGGTCCCGCAGCAACTCCCGCTCGCCCACCATGACCAACATGGGTGGCAAGTCGTGGAACCCTCTTTCCGCGAAAGTCACGGAGGTCACTGGGTGCTGCAGGTCAAATTTCTTGCGCGGGTAGAACTTGTTCATCTTCTCATCTACGACTGCTGAGCCGCGCTCGCGGCTTTTCATTTTATTGTTGTCAACAGTTCGCGTAGAAGCTGCACCTCCCGCAGAATTTTCCTTCCCCCTCAGCAAGGCAGTCGCCTCGTTCTCCGTGAGAAAGCTGGTGCAGGCCGCGTTGGCAAAGCGTTTGATGGTTTCTGGACGGAAGAGGTCGAGGCTGCGGTTGACCTTGGCGGACCGGTCCGTGTCCCAATCCGCGGAAAGGTCCACCCAGGGGGACAGAAGACACACGGATTTCGGTAGGAGAGCGGTATGAACTTGGACACGACCTTTCTGTTCTTCGTGGTCCCTCTCGTCCTCGCCTGGACTGGTGCTCGTCATGCCGTGGTCCTCGGGCTGCGGCTCCGGTTCCTCCTGTGGCGTGGACGTGGTGGACCACGTCGTCGGCGACCATCTCCTTGTGCCTGCAGCTGAGGCACCTAATGGACGAGGAGAAACAACACCAGCCGGGCGACGTGTATTATCATTTCTAGCGTTGTCTCCGCCGCCAAGAACACCACGTCGAGATGAACCAGAAGTCGAGGACGAGGACTCCTCCTGCGCCCGCCGCAGCTCTTCTCCAGCAGTTACTATCCTGGTTGAGCTCGTCATGGACAACCGCCTTACGTCGTCCGCTGCCGGGGAAGGAAGAGAGGACACAGGAGATGGAACGCAGCAGGGAACATATGCAGGTGCTGAAGACAGCCTTGTTTGCCTCTCTGTTATTTTTTCCCCAGTTGTTGTACCATGACCCGCTTCCATCCTTTCGTCCACTACTTCGCAGTTGCTTGAGGCCTTCGTAAAAAACTTCACTTGCTTGATATTTCCCCCTGCCGAGGTGGTGGAGCTACAACTCTCGCTCGTGGTCGAGTCCATCATGTACAGCCCGCCCACTTGACTGCTGTCCGAGGACCTGGTCGTGGTCGTCCGCGAAGTTGTGGTGGAACTGCAGGGGGCGCGGGTGCTCCGCTCCGAGCTTGTTGAGGAAGTACTGCAAGAAGAATTCTTGTTCGGCAGGAGCGGCACCTCCGAAGTAGACGATGCGCGCTGTAGCGGCTGGAGTTCGTGCTCTTCTTGTGCAGCTGCTGTCGAGGCGGAGGATGTTGACGCTCTTGAAGATGTGGACGTGGTTGAGCTCCTGGACAAGTAAGATCCGCGTCCTCGGGGGGGCGAGGGAGATCTCAATCTTCTCTGGCTATGGGACCTCGTGTAATGATTCGCATGCATGCTTGTAGTTCTTTCGCTCAGGTGGATCGCATTTTTGGCAAGCAGGCCACAACTACAACTTGTCGTCCCGTTTACAACATCTTGTTCAACATCGCTTGAGGACCACGACGACCTGGCGCGCAGCACTTTTTGGTAGAGCTCGCCCTGGTCTCGCAACTGCAGTAGCACCTGCAAGCACAGCGCGCCCCCGGCGGAATCGCCCAGGAAGGAAACCCGTTTCGGGCAGATGTTGTAGTCTTCCAGCAGGCAAAAGTACGCGTTCAGACAGTCGCAGATCGTGGTCTCCATGCAAACGTCCGGTGGTCGGCGGTAGTTCGGAACAAACAGGACGCAGCTGGACATCTGCACGGCGGTTATCGTGGCGTAGCGGTGCGTCTCGTGGTCGCACAGCACGAAAGCGCCACCGTGCAGGAAGAAAACGATGGAAGTTTGGTCTGCGGGAGAGGACATGTTGCGGTTGTCCAGGGTCGGGTCGAGCTCCTTCAATGTACCGTTTGAATCAAATGTTGCCTGAAGATGATCGTTTTCGTGCTGAAAAATAGCTTTCGCTGACGAATTCCTGACCGCAAACTTCCCAAGCGCTCGGTGCAGAGACGCGGACAACTTTGGGTGGTTTTTGCCCGTGATGTCTTCTTCAATGTGGTGTTCCTCATCCTCATCTCCACCGGTTAAAATCGTTGACTGCGGGAATAGAAATCTATGAACGGCGCACCAAAGATCGCTGCAAGATTGCTTCAATGTCGACAGCACCCATTCCCTCCTTGCTCCACTAGTACCATCTTCCTCGGCCGCAGGAGTGACAGGCCAGATCCATTCGCATTTGATTTCCGTGTGGTGATATTTTCCCACGGTTCTTGTCTGCAAATTATCAGCTGTAGCCGGTGCGCAGCAAGACCGCCGCAGGTGTGATTGCGTAGATGACACCTCATCGACAATTTGGTCCCACGCGTCGGTGAAAGCGCGGTCAGGATCATCTTCATCGTCCTCTACATTGCGGTGGTCTTGCTCGCTCTCGTTCCTGTCGCATCTGCTGCGTGATTTACTTCCTTGTGGTTTTCCACTTCCTTTCTTCCGTTTCTGTCTCGTCCTTCTCCCGCCTCCGACGACCACCTCACACCTCTCAACGCGGACTTCATGCCTCACGTACACCTTTTTCAGCCACCCAATCAGCGCCAGGGGAAGCCAGACGAGGCTGCGGAACACCTGGAACCGTCCGCGGAGAATCGGCATGTCCTTGCTCGTGCCCGCAGCCAAAATCACGCCCAGCCGATAGATGTAGTTGGTCGAATCGCGGGGACCGGATCGCGGGAAGTAGTACCCGACGAGCTGCTTCTCCTCGTAGTTGAGGTTCTTCCTATCTCTACTTGCACATTGTAGCAGATCGCGGCGACTGGTGGAATGCCGAGGGTCCTCATCTTCTCTTGTGGCGGGAAAATATGAAGACGTTGATGATGGAGCGCAAGGGCCTCCGGGCGGAGAAAGAAATAAGTTCAAGAATCGGCGAAACAGGTTTGAGTGTTGGCTGTAGCCGGAAACAAGCTCGGCCGCTTGAGCAGGTGGGCGACTAGGTGCCGAATTATGATGTACTTCCCCTGGTAGTGGTAGAGACCGCCCTTGCTCATTTTTCCAGACGAGTTTCGAAGATCTACTCCTTCCCGAGGCGAAGGTACTAGCGCTTGTGGTCGCTCCTCCTGCCGCCGTGGTACACGAAGTGAGGACGCCTGTCCTGGAGTGCGAACTGCAATACTGCGCGTCCACTAACCTCTGGTCGCTCTCGCGCAACACACAGCGGACGCACAGCCCGCACGGAGACCTAGTACCAGTTCCGGTACAGGAGGAAGACGAACAACTACTGATGGCGCCGCAATCGTACCCCTTCTGCAAAGGTACGTAGAAGTGCCGTAGCCAAGACGAGTTGATGTGCGAGGATGATCCACCTCGTGGTCGTCCCGTTGCACCACCATCTTCCAAGAGCGGCCAGAAATGCTTGTCAAGAACTTCTTGCGAAGATGAACAAACGGAGGCGCTGCTGTCCAGTTCTACGTCCTCCTTGCGCTCCGCAACCACGTAGAAAGGCCGGAAATAGTCTTCGTCATTTTGGGATATGGATATCACACCCCCGAGCGCGGTCTGCGCATCTTCATCTGCAAGAAAGGCATTGGAATGCTCAACATCTCTAGAATGTCTTGCTTTTTCCGTCGTCGAAGAACCTCCACCTCCCGACGCAGCCGCGGCGGTGTGGTCGTGCTGCAACATGGGAAACTTTTTGTCATCGACATCATGCTGCTGTCGTCCTTGTGAGTGCTTCAAATTGTCCACGAAATCAAAAGGCTCGTAGCCGGAGTCGTCGACGTAGCCTCCAAGAACGTGGCGCTGATCACAGCTTGTGCTCCGATGAAGATCTTCATCTTCACTTCGTGTTTTTTCAAAGTCCTGTTCCTCGTCGAACAGGCAACGCGAATTACAATTATGTAGCTCCTCCCCATAATTGCACGACGCAGCCCCCCGGTCAAAAATGTCCACAATGTACGCGTCTGCGGTGTTCCTTCTGGTTCTTTTGCCTATTGAAGAACGCGAAGACCGGGCAACATCGCCATCGACATCATGAGAAACTTCTCTACTAGTTGGCTTCGCTGTCCTCTCCGCCTCTGGTCCGCGCAGGTGGTCATTTCTTGCCGTGATGTAGCGCTCCAGCACAAAGTGCCGTGGGCGCGCGCAAGGCAGCGGCCTCTTGTGACCGTGCCTATTTCCACCGCGACGTAGTAGAGAGTGCTGTCCTTGAAGATGTCGTCGGTTACGACATCTTCGCTTTCTTTTCTCATTCAAATAGCAGCACAAAGCCCGGAACTCCGATGCGTGGAAGCGGAGCAACCGCCACCAGATCGCGCAAGTGATGCAGCGAACACAGGCGTAGACGGTGTGCTTTTTTGGATGCGGTTCGTGGTGCCCTCTAGAGGTGTCGTCCATGATAGCATGGAAATGGATCGGAGCGCTGCAGCTGCTGGGTGGGAACGCGCGCGGCGGCAGAGTCAGTTGTTCCAAAGGTGGTCCTTGTTTGAAAAAATCTGTCGGTGGGAAGGTAGGCTGGCTGGCGGCCGTGGCGCTGGCGGTGCCACGACGCCTTCAAAAAATCATAAGTTCTTTACTATGCATGCAGATCATGCGATGGATTGTGAGCAAAGATCCCTGGAAATAAGCAATAAGTAATTACGCCACCGGACGACCACCTGGACACTAGCTGTACACGTAGTCTATTTTATTATTATTCGTGGTCGTGTCATCCATGCAGACAATCAGCATTTTTACGACCAAACAAGAGTCAGCTGCGGTTGCGTCGATGTTAACTACAGTCTCTGCAGATGCGAGAGTACGGTTTCGGTTTCTATGCATCTGCATCGCGATCTTGCTACTAGTTTTCAACATTGATTACGCGGCAGCTCTTGTAAGCTGGCAGAATATCAAAGCTGTGCGGTTAGGTGCCAAGAAGTACCAGCTCAGGTCGAGGACGTCGTCACGCATCAAAGAGAATAGACAATAATGCAATCTGCTGTCTGATCAACATGATTTTCTATCTTGATCACATATACTCAGAAAGCTCAACCCAGCAAGCAGCACAGCTAGTGAAAAGAAAAACCGGGCAAACATGTATCAGAACATACTCAACCATCGTGCGAACGCTACTAACTTGATTCTTTCTGTGTGACCGTCTCGACAGCGATGTCGGTGACCGCGGCCGCAATCAAGGCTTGTGCTGATTTATATTTTTTTCCTTTTTTTGCAAGATTTTTTTCGTCAAGGAGGTCCTCGGTCGAGGCAGCTTTGCATCTAATATCCGGAGTGGTGAGACTATGGCTGGAGAAAGTGTTACTGTTAGTTGCCTTGCATCGACGATGATCACGGCACAACAAGTTGCAGGTCTAGTCCCAACTTTATCTTAACCTGCTGGCGCAATCAACTTACATGAAGTCTACTTCGTTCGTTGAATCCATGCAAAACAAGCAAGGCATGTCCGGCGCCGGTCGTGGTGATACGTATTTATAGTTACACCCTATCGTGGTCCAGTTTATCAGCTTCTGAGTTGTTCATTTTTTTGACTGCACCATTTTAGGTGCAGGTCGTCACTCTATACGTATCGAAATAACAAACAGAAGTTGTACATAGAGCCGGGCGTAGTTCCCTCTGCGGCCGTTCTTCCTCCCGAGGGGGCCACTATATAACACAGAGCGTGAGTAAAGGTGAAGAGGCTGTGCCGTAGTAGAAGAAGTTGTCAAACTATCAAAGGAAAGTGTAATCAGTAGAGGCTCGCTTTTCAATTTGGAGCTCCTTCTTTTCCTCGTTCGGCCGCTACGCTAACCAGTATGTACCAACGTCTCGGTGCCATATATCAATTCTAAAAGCTGTTTCAGTGATTTTCTCTTCGTACTTTTTGGAAGAAACGAAATGTGGAAACACGAGACGGAAGCTTTGACATTGAAAATGTCGAACCACCCGGCAAAAGTGGAATCCATATGAAGTTGAAGACAGAAGCGGTTTGTTCAGAGAGGGCTACAGCTAGGCGAGTGAATATCGTTAAGATCTTCCCTTCGTCGATGCTGGATAAAAATGCATCTTCTGAAGTTATTGCATCCGAAGAAGTTGAAGTTCATTTGCATTTTACAAAGCCTCGCCACCATTCATTTTGTGACTTTCATCTTCACCTAGTTCTGAAGATGATCAGGTGACACTTGAGAAACATCAATGGCACTGGGTCCTTTTCGCGTCGTGACTGCGTCCCTCCAAGACATGATTTTGCATATGCTGGCTTTCAACAGGTACCGGTGATGTAAAGAAGTTCTGATGAGTTACATGATGAAGTAAAAGTTTAGTACAAATAGAGGCTGGGTAAAATACAGGTGGTACAACAATGTCAAGCCGCAGGCATGGACTGCAGATTCTTCTCCTCCTTGTGAATGACGCCGGAAGATTGATAGATTTAGATACCAGGACGCAGCATTATCATGACATCATGAAGAAGCTCAGGTGGCACACGGCACAGAAGTATGATGCCGTTACCGTTTCGATTAGAAAATTTCATATTTTCGCGTTGTTTTTCTTTGTCTTTTGCCCGCTTTTCCGCTGTTACGTCGCCCGTCACAGTGTCCCATGCTGAACGAAAGTGATGAAGTTAAACAACAGAAGAAAACAGACACAACAAAGATTTCTTAAAATTTCATTCTCCCCTTGACAGGAAAAAATATATCAGCATGCTCCGGTTGTACTAGCAAATTCTTGTAAGCCGTCATGCGGGAGCAGGGTACGAACGCACCAAGTTACGAGACGAACGCACACACGCACACACACGACTGAAAAAATACGGTTTAGTTACACAAACTAACAAGCGAAATAAAGTTGAAATATTGTAAGTGTTGAAAGCGGAAGCGCGCGCGCAGCTAAAACAGGTGATATAAATGAAACTTAAGTACGAGGTTTTGCAATTTTTGAACGAAGTAAATTGAAATTTCAGAAATGCAGCCGTCGTGGTGGACCTTCAAACAAAGTGCAAAAGCGGAATGAAAAGAGCTGCTGCATCTCGTCGGCTTAAAAACAAGCAGTCAGATTGTCGTTGCGATTGTCGTCCAGATCTTTAAGGAAATAGACTACAGACAGTACAACGGAAGCGAAAAGACGGCGACGGTGTCGTGTAGGTATTCCATGCAAACAGCACGAGCAGGAGCAGCTGTCTTTGCTTCCGCGGACGAATAAAACACAACTGGAGAAGGCATGAAAGAGAGAACCAAGAACTACATAATGCTAGTACACAGATGTAGTAGAACAGGCTACTTTTTCATCTCCCTCGGAGCGACTGCGCATCTCGCGACCTTTATCTCGAGGCACACCTACTGCTACTGTATTTTTTTCGTATCGACACAATAAAAATAGCTCCTCACCACTGAAAGGGTTTCAGTCCTGAAGTCCAGAACGGCTATAGAAGTTTTTGAAACCGCGAGCAACCGCAGAGTCAGGGATGTCGCGCGGCTTCGTTTTCGAGTACGTGGACGAGGATACACCTTCTGAAGATGTCGCGGTTTATTTTCTCTCTGCAGCTGGTGCAAAGATACTGTCGTGATGATCAGGCCGACGGCTGCCGCCGGCCTTTTTTCGTAATTTGGTGCTGAATGTATGCTAAAAAAAATATTTGGCAAGGGGTAGCCGAGAGGGGGCCGCGCCGCCTGCCCAACCCGCAAAAGACTGCAGGTGCCAGGGCCCAACCAACATAGCCGCGCCACTAGCCCCCGCCCTGAATGCGGAATGTGAAAAAGGGCGCGCGCGCTCTACGGCCGAGCGGAAAACTCGGCGTGGGCGAAATCCGGCCCGGGGAAATACCGCAAGGGGGGCCGCCGAAATCAGGCCCCGCGGGCCCATAAGGCGTGGGCCTGTGGCGCGGCTAGCCCGGAAAGCGCCGGCGGCCGGTGGTAGGGCGGCGGGCCCTCACCCTTTTCCCTGTAGGCGCAAGGGGCGGCGCGGCGCGCTTCGCGAAGGAAGAGGCGGCGCGCCTCCTCCCAATATCGAGCCGGCCGGGCACCTCTGCGTGGGAACCAGGAGGGCCCTGGCCCCGGTTTGTTTACGCAGCACCCCCAACCGCAGGGGGGTGTGACTGCGGCAGCTCTTCCTGCTGTCTCTCGCGTGCAATCCCTCCAGGTTTTGTCGCTCTTGTTCATGCGCCAACGCCTCCTGTCTGTGCGAAATCAAAAAGACGAAGAACATGCCAAAACACGAAGACAGAAGAGCGGAAGGACTGAAGATGCCTGTCCTCAACTTGACCCCACGCGGGCGGTCCGGCTGTGCAATGCAAGTAGGAAAATCCGTGCTGTGCCGAAAGGTTGAAAAAGGATGGAGCTAGCTATTTCAGAAGTAAGATTTTTTTGTTCATGATTCATCTTCGTCTTGGTCGCATTCCAAACAGATTCGTGGGGCCGTGATGGTTCAGGTTTTCAATTTCGGTCGTCACAAGTATCGCGCTGTATTCTCATCGTGTGTTCATAAACTGCCGGGCAGTTTCGATCTTCTCCTTCTGCCTCCTTTCCTCCTCCTTGAGCGCCACCGAGCCGTCTCCCACCAGTTGTTCATACTCCTCCAGTACCCCGATGTTTTCCGTCGATAAAACCACATCCGCCCAACGCAAACATTGGCAGACTTGGCGCGCCGTTTCGATACCTGTGGTGAAGATGGGGAAAACACTGCTTCCGACAGGACACGCATAAAGCATTACATGCGGGGAGCTAAACCAAAATCATCCACTTCAGCCAGCAGCCTGGGCACGCGAGGACACCAACCAGGGGAAGCTACCGGGAGCATAATACTTCAAATCTGTCATGCGTTTTACGATGACTATCCAAAATTTGTCATGCGCGCAACATGAAATCAACATAATAAAAGTACTTCCTTGGTCCCCCAGGTCGATCGTTGGCTTCAGCTCCTTGAGCTTATCGAAGTACGCCGGTAGACTTTCGGCGGTCAAGTCCAGGCTCTCCACCCGGTTGTAAACCCACCGATAGAGCGGCCTATATTTGCTTTTCACATTACTCTCCCCCGCAATGAAGTTTTTCTTCCGGTCCGGCTGTGCGGTTTGGTGGTAGTTCTCTATCGCAATCTTCGCATCGTCCCAATAACCGCCCCAAATCCACGGGGCGATGGCTGGTTTTTGCGACTGGACATCTTCAGCGACCTTGTCCAGCAACTGGCGCTGTTTTTCGTTAATTTTGTCGCATTCCGCCAAGTACAGCTTCTTTTCCCACGCCAACTGGGTCGGGCATTTTGCCAATACCTTCACAAGGTCAAACCTGTGGAAAGAGTGATGGTGTATAATTTTCATGAGATGGTTTTTTTTTGCATGACAAAAAACAATCACAGTCCTCACGCATGACAAAAACAGCAAGACTATACATGGTCGATTTCCCCTTCTTCAGCAGCTGGTCGAGCTGCTTCACGAGTGCCTTACGATGTTTCGCAATCTCCAATGCCTGTGGGAGCGTGGACTGGCACTCCTCGATCGGAACGGACGTCAAGTACTTACGCTGCAGGTGTGTTATCGAATAAAAAACGACGCGAATCGAGTCTGTTTCCTTGCCTCCGCGAATCACATCTGTCATGCAAAAAAGAATAATCCTAAACCGACTCGATTCCCGGACCAGTTTTCGTACAATCTTTGGTGAAGTTGCTCAAGGTGACGAGGCAGTCGGCGACCGTTTCCCAATATTCAGCCAGCACTCCGTCTTTCTTGGCCTCTTCCTCGACCCGACTTAACTCACTCCCCATCTTTTCCTCCTCCGCAGCGACCTCGAGGATGTTCAGCTTCGTGTTCTGGGCGTCGGTGAATACCTGGGTCATTTTTTGGGGAAATTCTCATCGAGGAAAAACATGACACAGGACGCGAAGATGCCACGAGAGATCTCGAGGCTTAGAACCTTCTGTGCGATTTCGGACCGCGCAAGAGTTCCTCACGCTGGTTATACAAACATAAAAATCCCTCTAATACGGCCCCCACAACTAAGGAGCCAAAAGACACCGCACTAGGCGAGCCTGCATGCAAGGAGAGTTATGCTCTGCGCCGTGGCTTCGAGTTCATCTGTCATGCGTAGCTCTGTAGTAAAACAAAAGCAGTAGTTTCCTCACCTTTACAACCTTGCGCTTGATTTCGTGCTTTGCCAGGCCGGTTGTCAGCTGGGAATCCAAGAAATCATAGCACGGCAAATGCGCTCGATCGTTGCAGGCTTTTATCTCCTTCACCTCCTGTTCGCCACCCGAAAAGTTCAAGAGTTTGGTCCCCTCGATCTTGTTCTCCTTGTAGAAAAAATGAACACGGGCGAGATCCGGGTCTACGACTCGGATGAAGTCGATGTAACTGCGTGATAGTTGTTTTTCATTTTATGAATTTGTCATGCTAATTTGCAAAAAGCGCAGCAATTTATCACGATGTCGGCACAGTGTGGAAATAGGAGGTCCTCGTAGGGGAAAACGCGCGACAGATACTCACACACGCAAGACAAAAATCTAGAAGAAGGACAAAACCAGTATGAGTGAAGACTTACTCTTCGACGAACTCCGGGCCATTTGTGGCCTTGTCCCACCGCCACTTGATCCGCGCCAACAAAATCGCGCTCATGTCGTCGTACGGACCCTGGGCCACCCACGCATCTGTAGCGGTAAATTGTGACAAATGAAGGAGATGGGGATGTAGATTCTGTCATGCTGTTTTTTCGGTGAAAGGAAATCTGTCATGCTCAATAAATGGCGACACAGGTTGCAGGCGAATTTCTGCCCACACGCGCCGCCCGCCCACAGGCGAGTCAAGAAATCAGCCGGCGCGCTTCTGTAAAGTAAGACGACGCCGGATTTACAGTGGGGGAGCAAAACTACGACCAAATCTTCTGGGTGGATGCGGCTTTATAACTGCGATTGAAAAGTGTCGAAGTGCGCTACTTTTTGGTTGCAAAATTCAACGAAATCGCTGGACTTCTATCGGAGTCTTAAAGCCGCGTCCGAGCTACATCCTGGGGCTTTCGAGCTACAGAGTGGTGAGACAAGCAAGAAATCATCATCATTCACCTTCGGATCATCATCCGCACTGCGATTAAAAAAGAAAAAAATACTCTTTCCTCCCTCGATTGCAGCCCGCATGCCATCGATGATGTCCGTGTTCGTTTCGTCGGTGTCCGCGGAAACCAGCAAGGCCAGCATCCCTTTCTTCTCGTCGCCGATTTCGGTGCGATTCAGGCCCCAGTGGTGGTCTTTGAAGGCCGTCTCCTTCACGTCCTTCAACTGTTTCGCCTGCCGCTCCTTTCTCTCCCGTTCCGCCGTCTCAATGGAGGGCGGCTTGAAATCAAGCAGAGGGCTCCGCTTTTTGGGTTGTGGCATCTGGATCACCGGAGGTGGTTTGAAACTCAAAAGAGCACGGAGACCCGACGCTGAAACTGTGTTCGTTCCCCCAGTCCCGCTACCCTGTACCATCTGGTTGCCGAGAGACGAAGCCGCAGGTGGCGTTGCGGACGGATCGATCATCGCCCCACTCTGGGCGGGCTGGTTAAACGGGTTACTTCCAAGAAAAGAAGAGGAGAAGTTCGGCGTGGCCCCGAAAGTAGTTGTACTGCCCACCATGGCTCTGGACATGCTGTTCTCGTCCACAACCCCGGTGCTGATAGCTGTTGCCCCGGATTGGCTGTTCTCCTGGCTGTCGGTATGAGCTCGCAAAGTCCTGTCATGGCCACGTATTCGTTGCATTTTTTCCCGGGATAGCTGACGCTATTCCGGCCCAGAATGCAACCACGTTGTGACCATGACAGGACTTTCGCATTCATATCTGTGCACGTCATTAGTTCCGCCCATCCCGTACCCGTACGTGTTCACCTCTGCTGGCGGCGGCGATATGCATTGCAAATTTGCTTCCGAAAAAACAACATCTGCACTGGGTTTGCAGCTCAAGACTCCGGATTGAGACTCCTTGTAGGCAGCACACGCCCTCCAGTTCTAGCATGACAAATGAAGTTTTCTGGTCTAGCCACGCTCGACAAACACATGCATCGCGAGGCTGAGCTGAAATAGAAGAAGCAACTCTAGCGACTCGCATGACAGAAAGCAAGTCCAAAGTGCGGGAAATGCATGACAGACTTCTTTTTTTCAAAAGTTGCATAGAAAAAGGACCATGCAAAAAAGGCAGTGCAGATATTTTTCGGAAGCGTTATCACATGCATAAGGGGCGGCGAGACCATCGCGTTTCCGTCGTACATGTCGTCATCCTGCATCATGTCGTCGTCCTCGTCGTCCTTCTTCGAGTTCCGCCCCCAGTCAGGAAATTCTTTCTGCACCTGTTCCCCGTGCTTTTGCAGCCACTTGCGGACCTTTTCCGCCTTCATGGCGGCGGAAATGTGCGGAGCTTTTTTCATGGCTGCTTCCAACGACGGCCGGATGAGTGTGCAGGTTGCTAGCGCGCCTTCGTTCCGGGCTTTGAACAGGACATTCCGCAGGGCGGCCTGTTCCGTCGGGGAGAGTTTCCAGTATTTCTTGTCCTCGCCCGTAATGACTTTGTGTCGCGCCATCTCCTTCTTCATACCGGGGAGGTAAGCATGAGTAACATGCTGAAAGGCGTTGCGACCTTCGGGGAACAAGGGCTGGCTGAGGTAGAAAAGGCAATCCCTCTTGTTGTTGCGATTCAAATCCTTCACGAACTGCGTCATGTCCTTCAGGTCCTGCGCCTTCTGCGCGGCCTTGGCTTCTTGGGTCTCCTCCGCGTTGTTCAAGTTTTTGGCCTTGGCTTTGTTACGTTTCCGGTTCTTCCCTTCTTTCACAGGTTCTGCTTCGTCGACCTGAGACGCAATTGTTTTATAGTTGTGTTGTAAGGCACTGCAACTGCTGCTGGAGGGACCGGAAAAACTACTGCAGATCCCAGGGCGCCCATGAAGAGACGTGCTTGGCACCGCGGGAGCGCGCAATCCCACATTGCGCTGCAAAAGCGAGAACGTGACTGCGGCACCTGCGCAGCCACAAATACACGCGCAGCGCGGAACGGACCAGCCGGCCCGAAAAGAACCCGTGGGTGACGAAGAACGCAGTCGCGCATCGCGGCCTGCGCACGACCCACGATTTCGGCTTCCCCACCCCCCCCCCTCGCCGCGCCAAAATTTGCCCCGCCTTTTGGGGGCGCTGATCACCCGTATTCCGCCGGGGTATCATCGCAACGAAGCATCCCGCGGAATATGCTAAAAGTATGCTAATTCTCTGCTAAAAACATGCTAATTCCCTGCTAAACCCCCCAACTTCCGACCCGGTTTCGATGCTGAAACTATGCTAAAATTAATGCTAAAACAGGTGCTAATTCTCTGCTAAAAGTCTGCTAAAATGAAAATCGAATTTCCTTCCCGATTTTGCCGTCTCCGGGAAAATCCCGGACCCGAACCCCCGGTTTTTTGGCTCTGCTAAAAGTTTTAGCATTCCCCAAAAAACTCCATTTCCGGTGTCAAGTCTTGCTCTCTTCATGGGCGGTGATCTGCATGAGAAGACGAAGCTGTTGTTTGCCAGAAGAAGAAGTGTACTGCTGTACCTCCATTGCCATCGGCATCTGCGTCTCATTCAGCACCAGACTGCTTTTGCTCGAAGATTTGTTTTTGGAGTTTATGAATGTGTGCGTGTGTCATGCTGAGTGCGAAATGCTCTGGGACACAGTGAAGACGAACGTTTTGGCGTCGGGGCTGTGCCCCGACGGCAAAACTACACGCATTTCCAGCAAAGCCGTCTGGCTTTGCAAGCGACGTCGAAACTCGGCAGAACTGCCGGGGAAACTACCTGCGCCGCATACTAAGATTGACACAGTTCCACATTCATAAACTTCGCCCCCTGCTTCTGTGCCGGGACGTTGCTGCCGCTACTGGCAGCCCCCGCACCAGCGCCATTGCTGCCGCTACTAGCAGCAGAAGAATTGGTCTTCATTTTTTTACTTTTCGGTGACATCTTGCGTGCTTTTTTGCAACTATCTAGGCGCCGTATGCTATCGCACGCACCCAGTATCTTGTGCTTTGTGCGACCCAATTTCTAAAGGGGAAGAGGAAACGTTTTTCATGGTGCAGGCAGTCTTACGGGAACTTCAAAAAAACCAAATCTGTAATGCTACAGAGGATCTCGCAATGCCACACAGCATCATTGGGGAACCAAACCAACAACAATTTGTAATGCGCAATTTTGAGGAACATCGGAACAGGAGTCTTACATCGGTGTCGTTGTACGATCTTCAAAAAAATGATTGGAAGAATTCAAGCAGTCCGAGTCTGTATTGCGGATTATCTTCGTTCTAGGTCTAGTAGCAACTACTTAGCATACGGCGCCACACATGCAAGATATGTACTAGCATGAAGACTAGTCCTTCCGGGTCAACTTCCGCTGTTGTTTACTAGTGCAGGAGGGCAGCAAGATCCGGGCTGATTGGAAGTCTGAAGAAACAGGTGCGGGCTATTAGTTCCAACTTGTCGAAAAACTGCTCGCGGTTGTGGGTGTGGAGTTCCTGCTGGTCTTCGAGAAACTTCCTGTCGCGTCGAATTTGACCCATTATCGTGTCCTCCTCGAGGGCCAAACGCGATGCCGCTGTGTGCTCCGGCTGATCGTTTTCACCACCCCTGTGTGCACCGAGCCGCAAGACCGCTCGGTAAAACCGCCGCACTGCTAGCGCGTGCGTCATTGCGCGCTCCTCTGTCTTCCACACGGAGAGACTGAAGTCCTTCACAGGCTGGAGGCCGAGCTCCTTCAAGAACGGGCAAATTGCTGGACGCGGGTCCAGCTGGATCTTCTCGGTCGGTTATCCCGGGGCAGAATCTAGGCTGCCAAAAGATGCGCGTGCATTGCGCAAGGAAAACCGCATGACAAACTTGGAAAAATGCACGCCAACTGTCTCGAAGCCTAGATTCCGAGAGCGTAATGTCTGCCCCCTGTTCAGCAGATTGTACTTCCCCCCCTTCAGCTTAATCGACATATCTCGCGCGAGCAGCTGGTCTCCCCCCTGTCCCGCCAGTTGCTTGTACTTCTCGCGATCGGTTTTCAGGTCTGCCAGGCAGCTGCCAAGCCGTTCAAGCAGTTCGTCGTCGGCGTACTTGCTCAGCTCGTCCACCGTTGTTACGCGGCCCAAGTCGCGTTTTTTGTTTTGGTAGTTGTTGATCGCAGGGCTGTTCAGGCGTTTGAACTGTGCTGCGCCAGGCGGTTTTTTTTTTCTCCGGATCCCCGCCCCAGGACATAACTTCGCGAAGCCAGACCTCGCAATGTCCGTGTAGTTGAATCTGCACGCTACTATCAAACTAGCCGGCCCACGGACTTCGTTTTCTTCCTCCGGCACAACAAATATCTCCCCGTCCAGTTTCGTTGTGTTGAAGAACAGCCCGGTCTTGCGAAGCATGGTTTTCCGGGTTGGAAAACTTCCGTCATTGCCCTCGCGGGCCAGCAATTCGGTCGAGAGAATGAACGGCTGGGACGAAACAAAATTGATCCGAAAGGCCGCGACAACCTACCGGCAGACCTTCGTCGTCATCAGCGTATTTCCGCAGCAGCAGGATGGACCCTACCACGCCCAGGGCGTCGTCGCGGTGCAGCCGGATGAGATCCGCGACCCGTCCGTCCATGTCTTCGTAGTATTCCAAGTAGGGCCACGTCTGCGGCGTCATTATCATCATCCGATCGACCTCCTCGGCGAGATCCTTGTCGTAGTCCTGCTGGCACATCTGTCGAAGCTCACCCGAGCAGTCGACGGGGAGGTCATGCCAAGCTTCGAGCCAACTGCCATCTGTAATTTCGTCGTCCAGGTTGTCTGTGTTGATCCCGGTGACAAAAGTCTTCCTGCGCTGTATCTTGCTCTCCCGGTCCGCGTACCGCTGTAACTCCCGTGCCTGTTTTTCCAATTCCCCCTCTACTTTTTCCGCCCGGCGTTTGGCCACGTGGCTGGTGAGGTACTCCGTCTCCCCTGCCATGTTCTTCGTAGCGAAGGTCTCCATCATCGACGCGAAGTACTTGTTTTGGGCCTGTTGCCCCCCGATATTCTTTTTTGCATTTTCGGCGACGAACATGGACGGGCGAGTAATCTTGTGCGCGTTGGACTGCAGGGCAAGCTCGTCCCAGGACAGGACCTGGCCGGTGGTAGGGGAGGCGCGGTTCTGTGACCCAAGACACATACTCTGCTCCACTTGGTATGAAAAACAAATCCTCCAGCCATGCACCTTTCTTTGCGATTTCCGCATGAGAAAATACTCTCATGCGGAAATCTCGACTTGCTGTAGGTGGCTGGAGGTTGACACTTCGTACGAAGGTGGAATTCCACTGCAGGACGTTTACGGAGGAGAAGGATTTTGAGGATAAGTTGTGTCGGTGGCTATGTTTGTGCAGCTTTTCCCGTATGAACACCGACTGCG